AAACTGGAGAAAGTGTCATAACAAAGAAATTTTATTAGTAAGTAAATGTGGTTTGAAATAGGACTACTTGTTTTAGGTTTTTGCCATTGTGTCATTTATTTATTTGACGTGGCAGAAAAGTACAGAGAATATGAAGATGAACCAATGCCTGCAAATGTTCAGCATATGTACTCGTAATAGATATTTTTATCTAATATTAAATGGACGCACAGAACTTAGCGAATGCACAGCAACCTGGACAACCAAACCCAGAGAATATTCCAAATGAAGTTAGAATACAAACTGCAATGGCAAACTATGGTCAAGTGCCAACAGATGTACAAATGCAAACTGCCATGTCAAATGACGCTGCGTTAGGTTTGCCACCATGGTATGCAAATATGAGATGGAAAGAGTTTTATACAAACCCTGAAGTGGGATATAAACAACTTTATGCAGATGACGCGAACACAGGAGTTGACCCAGAATATGTTTTCTACCAGAGGAGAAACAGAATGTATGAGCTCCAGTTAAAGAATGCTATGGAACTCAACAGGAAACGCAAAAGACTAGGTGGACATTAGATTTTTACACGTAGTAAAATGGGTTTCTTCAGTAGTATTGGAAACTTCTTCAGAAGAGTTGGAAGAGGTATATGGAATGGCGTCAAAACCGTAGGAAGAGGAATTTGGAACGGTGTCAAAAATATTGGTAAAAGAGTAGGTCAGTTCGTTGGTATTATACCTAAAGACCCTGAACCAGAAGAACAAGCCCCTGTTATACAACAACCTGAACCTGCACCACAGTCTAGTTGGCAACCAAATCCAACACCTCAACCGTATTAAAAAATTATATTTTTATCGTTCGATAGTAGTTGTATATGAAATTAAGTTCTAAGTAAAACGCATGGTATAATGGAATTATTCTTTTTCTTCCATCTGTAGTAAACCATACTTGAAAGTCTGAAATACTTCCACTCGGCGGTTCATATAACTTTGTAGGTTTTTCGTAAAAGTCATTCATCAGACATAAGAAAGAGTTTTGCGCACCAGAAAATGAAGCATGAACAATAATAGCATCTGGGTCGAAAACATTTTCATATGTTCCATTAGGGTTTTCGACTTCATAATAGTCCGGGTGTACTGGATATGCTGCAGGCTGATTTAACATCCTCATAAATCTATACCATGCCAAGTTGTTATATTTTGTAGAAATATAAACGTTTTCTCCAAGGTCTTCTATTTTATTGATTTTAACAGTTGCATTTTTCCTGTCATAAATAATATCGAGATGGTATTCTCCTTCGTCAATGTTATACTGGTTTGCATATTCAATATAGATATCGTTTATTTTTTCTTGAAAAGCTTGAAGAGTTGTTTCTAAGTTTATAAGCAAATTAACTTGTAAAAGTTTTCCTTGTTCAAATTTCTCATACATACGTTTTTCTTTGTTATAGTATCGAACTTCAAAACCGACCATACATGGAAAACCTGTTTGAACTTGTGAGACAAACTTCATTCTACGAAAGCCAATAGCTTTTGTGACGGATGGGTCTCTTAACCATCTTAATGGGTAGTCAAAACGATAGCCTTCATGCTTTAGATTGTCTATGTCAACCTTTTGACCGACATTAGTAAAAAGTTCATCTAATGGTTTAGTTGTAGCAACTCTAGAATTTTCTTTTTCTATTGGAAGCATATTTTATCTATAATAAAAATGTCAAATGAAACAGCGTCTATGAGAGAAATACAACACAACCGACAACTCATTATGCAAGCTCTAAATAAGAACACAACAAACTTTTCAAACTATGCTAAAATATCTGAGTCATTGAAAGAAGGAAACCTAAAACTGACAATAAACCCTATGACAGATGAGTTTCTGTTTCAAGACAATAAAAACAATACTGTCTGTATAAATCCAACAAAAGGAACTTTAAACGAGAAACCTATAAATGAACTTCTTTTGAAAGCAGATGTTGACAACAAAGCAGACAAAACATATGTTGACAATAAAATGTCAAGTGAAGTGACAAGAGCTAACAATGCTTATGCAACAAAAGAACATACTCATCCTGAACTAGCAGACAAAACATATGTTGACAATAAAATGTCAAGTGAAGTGACAAGAGCTGAAAACGAATATTCTAAAAAGACTCATACACATTATATATCTGATATTACAAACTTACAAGAAACATTAGAGACAAAAGCAAATAAGACTCATACACATTCTATATCTGATATTACAAACTTACAAGAAACCTTAAACACTAAAGCAAATAAGACTCATACACATAACATCTCTGACGTAAATGAACTTCAAGAAAAGTTAGATGACATTATGCATCTAAGACAGGAAGTCAATGTGCTTAAACAAATTTTGCCGAATCTTATTTACCCGGTTGGCTCATTATATGTTTCAATGAACTCTACCAGACCAGAAGTAGTACTTGGTTTTGGAACTTGGACTCAAATAGTCGACATGTTTTTGTATTGTGCAAACTCTTCAAAGGAAACAGGTGGAAGTAAAACGATTTCGGGTGAAAATTTACCTGCACACAGTCATTACATAAGATTAACTACATCTCAATCAGGTTGGCATAAGCATAGATATTGGGATTGGTCAGGAATGACAAAAGGTCAAGGATATGATGTTAAAGACGACGTTAAGTTTGCTATAAATTGTTACTGGAGTGACACGCAGGGAGAAGGAATCCATACACATTTCGTTACAGGATATACACATACAACGGGACAAAGTAAAGAATACATGCCACCTTACATGACAGTTTACGCATGGTATAGAATTGCTTAGTCGTCATTTTCAACTTCTTTAGCATATTCGTCTGGAGTTGTCTTATATTTGTTAGGAACTGTTTTTGAAAGTATACCACCTTGAACTTTGACAAGTTTGAAACGAGGTCTGACAATAGTAGTTTTATCTTCTGCTTGCAGTGTGTACATTTTGCCATGTTTGCCTAAAACTTCATAATATTCTCTTGTATACTTTCTTCTATTTTTACGAACACGAATGTGAGTACCTGTCGGGTTCCCATTGTTGTCATAGTCAATAGTATTTTCATATGGGTCGCGTTTGGGTATTTCTATTTTTACTTTGTCACCTTTCTGAAGTTTGAAGCCCGGCATTCTTTCTTGTTTGTCTCTTTTGACTAAATTATTAAATATATAGTCTTTCTCTAAGTCAGGGTTGTTTTTCATTTCTTCGGGGGAGTGGTTTCCCAAACCTTTTTGTTTACGGTTATTGTAAATATTTAAAACTTGTCTCATCTTTGCCTGGGAGAAGTGTCTATACTTGTCGTCATATGACATTTCATTTGCTTCACCACCTTGTGGTTGGTTTAAGTCTCTTAACATTTTTATACATCCGTCAATGACACCAAGAGCAGAATGGTTTTGGTCGACAATGAAATATTGGTTTACATTTTTTGAACGCAGATAGTTTTTTACATCATCTGATTTGAAAGAACTTTCACAGTCAGATGTCAGTTTTGTTGGATGGTATTTGTCAACGAATATTGTCAAAGCAGTTTTCACATCTAAAATATTTTTGGACTGTAATGGTATGGCTTCACAGTATCTTGTGTTTTGACCGACAAATATTAACCAGGTGGTCCATCTTCTCTATACCTCGGAATGTTTTCCAAGATATCCATAAACCAAGCATTTGGTGTTGAACTAAAGATTTTTATCATGAGTGCTTTTTTTGTTGCCTTAGAAACATAGGGGTCCTTGTTTGGATTCGTCATTTTTTACCCTATAAGAAATGGGTTTATTTGGCGCATTAGCAGGAGTTGCATCCAGATTTTTGCCCGCAGTGGGAACAATAGCCAGAGGTGCACTTGGAGTTGGAAGGAAGATTTTGAGTACATTAGGTATACTTAAAGAGAAAGCACAACCTATTATACAAACTGTACAGAAAGGTTGGGATGTAGCACGAGATGCAACAAACCTTATTCCAAATCCTGAAACAAGAGGAAAAGTTCAAGGATGGATGGACAATGTAGGAAGACAAGCAGGAAATTATTATAACAAAGCAAATGAATACTATAACCAAGCAGGAAATTATATGAACCAAGGTGAAAGATTCTTTAACAGAGGATATAACCATGCACAACAGTGGGTAAACAATAACCAACCTCAACCGCCTCAAACGTGGGGAATGTAAAGTTTTTTATTGAGATGAAATGAACAATGCGGCATTGAGACAAATGAGTTCAAGATGGATTTGTCGGCTTCCAGCATTTAAACCGATACCATATAGTCAGGCTCAGCATGTGAAACTGAATGATATTATTAAAGGAACCATCCCACCTCCACAACAACAACCAGTTGAAAACAAACCAAATTAAAATTTTTTACTGAGATGAAATGACTGAAGAAGTTGAAACGGTAGATTTGACACCACAAACAAAAAGTTCAGAACCATTGTCAAAACCTGTCAAAGAACTTACAGATGAAGAGAAAAATTCAATAATAGAAAGTGCCAGATCTGGTAACTCAAATCCTAACTACAAAGTCACTTTTCATAAAAATGGAACGGCAAGTATCTCAAAAAAGAAACAGACTCTCACAAATAAAATATTGAAGTCTGAAGGAGCTTTCGAGACAACAGATGGGAAAGTTTACTTCACTGACCAACAGTTCATTATAGAACATCTCATTGACTTAGAGTCGAAATATTCTAAACTTTACAACAAACACAAAAAGTTGAAAGGAAAACAAAAACAAATGGCATATGATATTTATGAAGATGTTGACGACACAACTGTTCCTGCAAGTGAAGTAAAGTCAGAGGAACCGAAAAGTGACGAAAAACCGAAGAAGAAGGAAAACCAAAAACTGAAGATAAACCAAAACCAAAGTTTAGTTTCCAAACTAAACCAAGTCAACCTTCATTAGCTGGTATGGGTTGGCGTCAAAGACTTATGGCAGCAGGCGGTTATGTAAAGTAAAGAAAAAAATATTTTTTTTATTTTTTATAAAAATGCCCCATATAGAATGGATAGAAAGTCTGCTAGAATAAAAGCAGAGTTACAAAGATATGGTTGGAGAGTTTCGAAGAATTTTAAATATAGGAAGGGAAGACCCATAAAAGTCTATGACAAATTGTCTGGTCTTCGCTACGAAATGGATTTGGAAACAGCACGTGCCAATTATCCAAACAGACTAGAGAGGTTAGAAGAAGAACGTCTTATGGACATGCCTTTCGATGTTAGTGAACCTCAAGTTGAAGGACACGACGGCTTTGCCAGATTCTATTGGAAACATGACGAACAATTGCATCCTTTGAGAAGGAAAAAAGGAAAAGGTGAAGACGCACATGCTCCCATGGAAAGAACAAGATATTCATATGAAAAGTATCGTGAAGTTAGAAGTCAAATTACATCTGGTCGAACCTTTACAGTAAACTTTGACGAAGGAAAGAACAAAGAAGGCTTCATGGGTGTACTTGCTGCCATACAAGACGGAAATAAGAAAGGACACAATCTCAGATTGACCATAACAGATTTGGATGGTCACATTTACTATGCACATGGCAATGAACAAACAGCCGCAAAACTTCTTGACGCTTTCAAGACTACAAAGAGAGAACAAATGGTTGACTCCGACTCAGACATTTTGAATGCAATTGAAGGAATTGCAAGTGTCAAGTTCGAATGGTACCAACCTAACCCTCAAGCAGTCAGACAACATGCTGGATACTTCCCGTTCATAAATAAGTCTGACATTGACTTGACAAGGTATGGAATTTACAATTCAATTGAAACAATTGTCAACGAACCTTGCATTCTTACATGTCTCAGGAACTCTGGTCTTGTTACAGATGAGAAGATGAAGTATCTTGAGTCATGTGTGAAGACAAGGTACATTCTCAGAGGTCAATTGGCAAAAATTGCACCGTTGGCAAATGTCAATATCCGAGTCAACATACCTACAGCTAAAGGTTCTTCACATGACGACTATGTTGTTGACAAAGACTTACCATGGTTGAAGATTGTAATTGTCCACAACCACTTCATGTTGAACGAAAGTCTTACAAACACATTGTTCGGAAAAGGCAAGTGCAACATTGTCAGAGCTGTTAACATTCTTTTCGAGAAAGGTTTGTTGGAACCAATTCCAGATGACAAGCTGACAGAAACTTTTGTACCAAAAGACGAAACAAACTTTTCATTGTTAGCAAGACCAAAAGTTGTTCCAGACAAAGTTCTAGTACAAAAGAAGTACACAGTTCCACAAGGAGTTGGATTGTTCGGATACCAACCTGAACCAGAAGAACTTCCAATGAGGTTGCAAGAACTTCAAGATGCTATAAACAAACTTCCATTGAGACATCCAATTGACGTCAAATTGTATTGGAGAGCATCTGAGTTAGGTCAGAAGGTTTTATATGAAACAGGTTGCTTCGACGATGTTTATGAGATAACAGGAGAAGTTTCGCAGAAGATAAGAGACTCACTTGAATTTCCACAAACTGGACCAATTGGTTGCGACAAGTTCGACTCAGATGAAAAGATATACTATGTCGACCTTAACGCTGCGTACATGAGGTTTGTCCAATATATTCCGACTGGAATTCCAAACTAAGATGGTGAGTTCCCGGGAAGGAACTCTACAGTTGGAAAAGTCATACAACAACTGTATGATATTAGGAAAGCTTCAAACCCCAAACTTGCAATGACACTCAAATTGCTTATGAATTCGACATGGGGATATTCCATTAAGAAACCTCAAGAGATGAAGAGTAAACATTATGAGAAGGTCGACAACTTTGTTGAAAGGTTTTCTCCTTTTGTTTTGAAGTACGAATTCACTCAAGGTCAAAGTGGCTTAGTAACCACATTAAAACCTATTGTCGAACATTGGTCTTACCCTCAGTTCGCAAAGGCAGTCCTTGACGAGTACAACAAATTCTTCTCCGAAGTCAAATCCAAAGTCAAGGTTTACTATGAGAACATTGACGCACTCATGACGAACGAAGAAGGATACAACAAACTCATTGAAATGGGTATGGTCGGTGAGAAGATGGGCTGTTTTAAGCTAGATAAGGTATTTTCCGAAGTTCATGTAATATCGAAAAGGAAATATTGGGGCATACTTGAAGACGGCACAGAAATAAAACATTGCATGAAGTAAAAAATTTTTATTTGAAATGTACGCTGAGTTTGTTGGAGAAGACCGTTGGGAAACTTGTTTGTTAGATGAGAAATATGAAATTCACTGTTGTGAGTCATTTGAAGTCAGAAACAAAAAGACAAAAAGAGTTTTAAGCGAATGGGAGCGAAATGACGGATATGCTATTATGAAGATGGGTGGAAAACACTATCTTAAACATGTTGTCATTGCAACTCATTTTATACTGAATCCTAACAATTTACCTTTTGTAGACCATATAAACCATATAAGAAACGACAATAGACTTGAAAACTTACGTTGGGTCACTCGTTCTGAAAACAATAAGAACAAAGGCAAATTTGGAGATATTGTATTCGAATTTGTCGACGAACTAGAAGATGAAACAATTGAAATTACAGACTATGGCATACCATTTTAAAACAATATATTTTTACATATATTAAATGCTTCAGGTTGAAAAACAAAAAACAAAAGTAGCAGATACAAACCCGTTAGACTATATCTTTACAAATGCTGGTAGGACTATTTCAGATGAAGAAATTTCATCCCGAGCATACAGGTTTGACTATCCAATTTGTTGGCTTCAAAGTCCTTCAGATGCAAAGGCAATAGGATTTAGAAGAGTTTTGTTTTCAAATAGAACTAACGCATTTATGTTCGCAGTATATTTTCATGGGCAGTATAAAGGTCCTGATGGTCTCATAGACAAATTTGACGAAATAAAAATCTTTACAATTCGTTCAGACGAAAGTCTTGAAAAAACTCTCAATGACTTTCAAACTCAAATGAACAAATATTATTGGGAATTTCAAGAAAAATACGACTCTTTACTAAATGGAACATACTATCTGAAACTAGAATATGACAAGATGAACTCCACCGTTTCATTTCAAAAGATTGAAATTAACCCTCCAAGAGATACAGAGTTTTTATTTTGGGAAGTAGACAAACGTTCTTGGGCACAATTTCTTCGGTTACTAAACCAGAACGAACCATTACCACCAGATGGTCCATTTAAATTTATACTTCCACCAGCAGATTTGATGGTTTATAGAAACGTGTTTGACCCTCAAAATGTTATGTGTCATGCAAGTTTCAGTTCAAGCAACAATAGTTTTCTATGTATTGGTAAGGACTTTTATGACTTTGCTTCTAAATTCTACGAACCACCTAGTAACAGTTTCTCTGACTTTCAAGTTTGGTTAACAACAAATGGTGTGCAACATATTATTCCATTGTACTATGACTTTTATCTCGAATTGTCTTTCATATATAACTACGGAAAAGTGCTGAAAAAGTATTGAAAAATACTTTTAGGGTAGCATGTTAGATCTAACACGTTTTCTAACCACTTTTCTAACATAACTATTTACAAGCGTTTTACATGGTATATGTTGCGATGGTTCATGACTTTAAACAGTTTTGTAGCTTCTATTTCTTCACGAAGAATATCAAAAATTTTAACTATGCCGAAGGTTTCTTTATACTTCTTCTTGACATCAGATAATAGGAAATCGTCAGCTGTTGGATAGTTTTTGTTCAGAAATGCTAACATGTCCATTTTATCTTCTGCTGGTTTCTCTACTTCTTTCTTTAAGTCAGCATAGTCGTTTCGCATACGTTCTATCTCTTTGACGGAGTAGTTATATTTCCTTATTGCTGCTTTACATTTTGAACATTGCGGATTCATTTTTGCGTTATACATTGAAATTTGACCTGCTAGAACAACTAAGGCGTCAATGGTTTTCTTTAACTCAGAATATGTAGGTCTGATTTGTTCGTTCCATATTTTACATCTTTTATCTTTATCTCTTATCTGCCATACACATTCAGCAACTAACGAAACAAAGTTGTCGTAGGTCTTAAATTCTTCAGATTTATATATGTCAGAAACATTCTTATATACCATATCGCAATCTTTGTCCATAACCTTATGGTTGCAATGAAATCCAAGAAACTCATAATTTACTTTACGTATGAACTTCTTTATTTCTACTGAGTCGGTTGTTTTTACTTCTATTTCATCGAATTCAGGAATAGTGAGCTTTTGTTGTTGGATTTCAGGCAATTTGGGTAAATGTTCCACCAGGTCCTGCATGTCGTAAAGATACTGTTCATTTTGTTCATCTTTCGCACAACAGTCCAAAGTACTTGTTAAAAGTTCTTGCTTTATCTTCTGGATTTCTGTCTCAAAAGTATATGAAGAAGGAATGAAGCTTTTCATCTCAACTAACATAGATGTTGGATTCATAACTAAAGAGTTTAGTGAAGTTGTTGTTTGAATTGTTGTTGTGCCGATTGTTGAAATCATATCTTTTATACAAAATAAAAAAATATTTTATAAAAAACTAACTTTATTTTTTCTATCTTAAGGAAATTCACGAGAATTCATGAGTTTTGTGTGTTTTAGACCATGTTAGAAAAGTGGTTAGAAAACGTGTTAGATCTAACATTCTAACATAAACATTATTTTTTATTTTTTTGTGAAAGTGTTAAAAATAAATTGTTTTCATGAGTTTTGTGTGTTTTAGACCATGTTAGAAAACGTGTTAGATCTAACATTCTAACATAAACATTATTTTTGCTGAATTCAGCATAAAATTCTGAGTAAAATGGCATATGGCATGTGTCAAACCGTTGAGTTTTCACAAAATTCCAAAAATAAAGTTAGTTTTTTATAAAATATTTTTTTATCCGGAATATAAAGACAGATATGTCAACAACAGAGAACACAACAACAGTTATAGTCCATGAAGCTATAAATGAAGAATATGAATGGATACAATATAACAAACAATTGCGTCTAATTCGTTCGGTCAAAGACGATATGTACCAAATGCAAAGTATTTTGACTGCATGTTTTGCTCCAGACACTAAACACGCAGACGATTGGTTCAAAAACCAAAGCATACAAGAACTTTTGAGTGAAATTCCTCTAGACCGAGAATTCTCATACTTATGCTACTTGACGAACTTTGTACAAAGCAGAGAGAAGATATGATGAAAGAAGACAAAAACATTCAGAAAAGAATACCACGTTCGGTACCAAAAGGAAAGGAAAAGAACTATAAGTATATGATTTATACTGAAGATATGGAAGATAGTGACATGGTTATGTTGCATTTAGTCAGAAGAAACAACAAAAGCTTTTACGACCTTGCTAAGATTTACAAATCTGACAGAAATTGGTTCTATCGCGAAAACTTACAGATTTCAATGACTCCAAATGAAGATGTGAAACAAATAGTTCAAGATACGTTACCTCAAACACACTATGATATTAAAGGTTGTACAATTTTTACCTTCAAAGAAGATTTGCCATTGTTAAAGGAAAAAATAACAGAGTATTTTGACAACTTCAAACAAGTAGGGTAAATGCACTCTTTATTTTTACGCTTGACTTCAGATGGCTCAGGTAGCTCAATGAGGTAAATTGCCTCGTCAAATCCTTCTGGCATTCCGAGTCCTTCCATCCGACAGGAAAAAATTTTCCCGACAACTGGAAAAAATTTTCCCGAAGACAGGAAGAACGCTTCCAGTTGTCCGTCCGTAAACCATTCAAATTTTCGAAAATTGAGAACTTTTTGGTCGAACTTCAGAAAAAATTTTCCCGACAACTGGAAAAAATTTTCCTTCTGACAGGACACAAACGGATGACTGACGTTCCTCTTCCTGAATGCCTTCCAAAGCCAGAAGAACTGACAGCCCCAGCACCACAACAGACTTACTAAGACTAAACATTTAATTTTCAAGCTTGACTTTTTACAATTTGAACTTTGTTTGCGTAGATATGAATTCTGAAAGAAGTATGAGGGTCTTGTATGACTTTGTACTTCTCCCATAATTCATATCTGTCAAACTTACCTGCCATGGACTCTTTCATAAGTTCCATGAAATCGTCTTCGGACAATCCGGGGAAAAGTATTATGTCAGTAAGTATTCTTTTAACATCCTTACTTAAACTCTTGGCTGTCTGTACACAAATGACAACTGAAATGTTAAAGTGCCTAAGTTTCTTGAGAATTCGACACATGTCTTGTTCTCTATTCTTTAACAAAGGATGAGAGGCGAAATCATCTAAGATAAGAAGACACCTATGAGGGTACGTTTTCCAATCGTAAGATTGCAATTTCTTCGAAATGTATTCTATCTCTTTCTGTTTGTTTCTGAAGTTTCTTCTCTAATATTCTCTGCATTTCCTCATTTGGGTCTTTAAACTTAGAATTTATATACTCATTTATAGCATTATATTTCAAAACTCTTCTTTGGTACTTCTTTATCCAATCTAACAACTCAGTATCCTTTATACATACAACTTAGACTTCTTTATAATATCTTTGAACGAATTGACGGTTTGGTCAAATTGACCCGAAGTACTACAAATGACAACTAACTCATAGAATGGGTTCTTCTCATCTAGTTCTTGTTGTTGTGCAGCCATTTTAAGATAAGTGAAAGTCTTACCCGACCCAGGTGGTGCAATTAGACCTTTATACCATTCTGAGCAAATAAGAACTTGTCATGTATGGATTTTATCTGAGCATTTTCCAACTTCCTCTTGTTCTTATTTAAAACATTCTCAAATTTTTTGTCAATGTCAGCAAACTTTTTTTCTAACATATTTTTAGAAAAATTAAAATTTTTATCTTTTAGAAAATGTCTAGCGATTTCGCTATCTATATTCGAGACAAACTTTTTGACAGCAAAACATCTGTAGACCATAAAATCTTACATAGTGTATACAAGAAAGGTGAATTTGTTCTAAAGTTCTGTTTCTGGGAATATGACAAGAACCATAAAACATTAAGCAGAGAAGTTTTAAAATTTGTCAATGACAGACTTGTTGACAGAGATGACGCCGATTGGAAAGATGAAGTCCAACAAAAGTTCTTAGAATGCAAAGAAGACACATGCGCTGTTCTTGAAGATGAAATAGAAAACAGAATAGAAGAGCTATTAAAGGACAAAGAACTTTTACATAAATATGGTTCGGAGAAATTTGACATAACTCCACCAGAAAAGAAGAAGAAAGAAAAGAAAGTAGAAGAAGAGAAGAAAGAACCAGTTCCACCGAAGAAGAAATTTGACATGTAAAAATAAAATTTTATTTTTAGAACATTTCTGGGTCAATGTCAATGTTCTCTTCCTCTTTAGGAGTAAACACTGGCTTAGACTCTAAAATCTTTTTACCCAATTTACCTTGAACTTCTACAACTTTAGACTCATAATATTCATAGTCGTCTGTCTTCTTTGGTTCATAAGGTATAACAAGTTTGTATGCTTTGCCTTCTTTAAGGTTTGAAAACCTTCTGTCAAAACTTTCTTTGACTGTTAACAAACCTTCTATGTCTAAGTCTTCAAATTTCGCACCATTTTTAGTCACAATAGCAAACTTAACTGGTTCGATGTTCCAAACTTTGCTGAATGAAGACTTTTCAAAATGGTAGAAGTAAACATTCAAATATGTGAATGGTTCTAGTTCTTCTTTAAGTCCTGACATGTACTTGTTTACTGAAATATATTTCGTCATCTTTTCTTCAGAATAAAAAAAATATTTTTTTTTAAAATTTACTCAGAAAAATTTTTCTTTGTATATACACCATTCTCAACATCTAAAAGACTTTTGACATTTGCCAAGAATGTACGTTTAGACGCTGGCATATAACCATACTCTTGACAATATTGTTTATATTCATCATATAAAGACCTTTCATCTAAACACTCAAAGTCGCTTTCATCTATGAACAGTTCATAAACACTCTTGTTTGCTTCTAACAATGTTTGTCTCTCTTCGGTATGTGGAATTTGTCTTGGATTGAACTTTGAAATATCTAATGTCATGAAATATGAGAACAAGTGGTTGTAAAAGTCAGATGTCAAACATTCTGCTAAGTCGTCAAAATATTCAGTATCTTGCATATGAGAATCTGACGTTCTGACAACTACATATCTTCTATCGGAACTTTCTAACTTCATCGGAACAGCATTGTTTGAAACCATAATGAAGTTTGCAACATTTTCACAAACTCTTGAGTCTTTATACTTTCTTTCAACAACTCCAACTTTATCTGTTATAAGACTCTTCAAAGCATCTGAGTTCAAAATTTTTGTTGTATCTATACTTTGAAGTTCATTGCAAACTATAAGTTTCATATTCTCAATTGAAGAGTTAAATTTACCGCAGATGTTTTCTAAGTTTGTCATATTAGGGTTCGAATAACCTTCTAACAGTTTGCATAAGATATCTGTAAAGAATGTGTTCTTACCTGTTCCTTGTTTTCCAATTATAATGAGAGCAGTTTCATTTTTAGCACTTGGATGTTGTAAGATGTTTGCAAACCAACATAAGATATACTCATAAACTTTTTCGTTTCCATTGCATATAATTTCTTTGACATGGTCTAACCAAGCTTCTATAATATTTTCTTTCCATTCTACTTGTTCATATTTATATCCAGTGAAGATAGAATAGAAGTTTGGAGAAGGTGTATAAAACTTTATACCACGAACTGAAAAATCTTCTAACTTTGACAATAAGATATCCCAAGCATCTAACATCTTCATGCCAACTTGTACGACTTTTATTTTCTTAAGTTTCTGTCTACATTCTTGTTCTGAAACTATTGTCGCTTTAGGTTTGTTAAAGACTACATCCCATTCTTTCATAACATAACATTCTGGGGCAGAGTCGACATAAATGACTAAACGTTTCAAATTCTCGACTGCTTTGTTATAGTCTCGAAATGGACACATATTTCCGAATGCTTGGAAGTCATAAAAATCTGAAACATCTATTCTGTACATTTTTATAAAAATAAAAAAAATATTATTTTTTTATTCTCGACTTTGTTATTCCATTTGTTGCATTTGTTGTTCTTGAGCTATTTGTTGTTGAAGTTGTTCTTGTAATACAATACTTTCACCAGTTGCATCTTCCAATTCGAAACTTTCTGCCGTCATTGACAAATACATAGGACATAAAAGTTTTACAGGAACAAAGTTTGCGTCAACTAATATCAACGTTATACTTGCCAAAGTGTTTGAGTTCACTAAGGTTGAAAATTCTGCATTCGAATGAACAATAGGCAAACCAGCAGAGAAAGTATTGTTTATACGCATAAGTATCTTTTGGTCATAATAGTTTCTGTCGACATTCGAATAACACTTTGAACCTAAGTTTGAAACAATATATAAGATTGGTGTGCTTAATGTCAATGGAATAGACATTCCTTGTATGACACCTTTTCCTGTTATAGGAAACTGTTGGTAGTAAAAACCAGATATAAGTTTTATATTATAGCTCATATCGTTTATAGTAAACTCAGTCGGACATCCAAACATAATGAAACCTGCTCTAGTTGCAGCACATGTTACACCCGTACTTAAAGTATTAAATAAGTCAACAAAACCTGTTGGTGGTATTTCAGAATATGTATCTTCAAAGGAGTATTTTTTACCATTCACAACAATAAAGTCTTCTGGTGTCAAAAGAGCAAAACAGGCTTTAGTCGTCATTGTGTTTAAGGTTAGTTTACAATACCGTCCTTGAGGACTTTGTAAGTTTGTTGTTATAGAATTATATGACTCAGGGTTTTTAGTCGTAATAGTATAAACCATTATGTCTTCTGCCATTTACTTAGCAAATAAATTTTAATGAAATGTTGTGGTCGTCAAATATTTTTATAACGTCTGGGAAACTATATTTTAAGTTCAACGTTTCACCTCCTTTCATAACGTATATCTTGTCAATGACATTATATGAAACACCACAGCAACTAATGTCGGGTTCTATTTCTTTGATGTTTATATCGTCTGCCTCTGTCAAAAGTTTCAATAGTTCTTTCAAAACTTCATGAGGTGCAATGACATATGAGTTCACTTTTACAGGGTTGTGTTCGACCAAGTTTAACATTATACTTAAAGCTTGACAAATCTTCTCCTGAGTTTGAAGTTTGTCTTTCAGTTGTTGGTAGTCGTTTCGAATATCTGCAACAGAACTTAAGTCTCTGTTGACTTCAGGGTATGTTGGTTGTTCTTTTGCAGGAACTATTGTTATACCATCTTCGTCTTCGTATGGTTTCCCCATTTCAACATCTCTGTCTTTGACATTGACAATAACACTTTGACTGTTTGTTTGAGTTGGTGAATTTAACTTCACATCTGCCACCGCCATTAAACCTTTTGAAACACTTACGCTTCTATTTTTCGGAAATGACATTTTACTTAGAATAAAAAGATGGACGTATTCGGATATCTCTTTGAATTGAAGCAAAACAAAGTTTACACACACAAACAATACAAATACATTGACAGAATAGTTCTTTATACAAACAATGGTAAATGTTATAGAATAGCAATATTTGCTGAACCAAAATATTTTCATAAAGCAAAGAAAGTTGGTATAACCGAAATGGTGAAAGTTCTTGAAGCAGACAAAAATATAACTTCAAAACTGACCGATATTACTAAAGGAAAGTTTATAATACAGTATTATGTCAAAACAGGTGTCATAACTATTTACGATGGTGAGAAGTCAGTTCAAGAACAACTTACTGACCTGCTGCCAAAATCTGCTCGATGGAAGCTGTCGTTATGCCAATCTGAGGAGCCCCAGCAGGTTTCATCGAACGAATCTTCAAAAGAGCATCTTCCGTGAAAAGTGCTATTGGTTTTGTAAACTTCTTTGCTCTCAATTCATCTGGACCGTCTCTGTCACCAGTATATTGTATTTGTACAGTACCAACAGTTGAAATACCACCCATAAAGTCTTCTGAGTCAGCAAATGGAATGCCAAGCCAAAAGTTTGAACGGTCTCCATTTGTATATTGAGTTTTTTGACCTCCTGTATGAGTCCATACTTTCACATATGGCATAATAGAACTTTGCATCTCAGGGTTAATAGTTGTTGTGAAGTTGTTGTTAAAGTTCATAGCATCTAATGTCAAGTTGTATGACCTCATATCTTCAACTGTAGAATATTCTTCTCTTGGATAATATTTGCCATCTATGTTTATATGATATTTAATACCAGGGTTGTAGAAACAAGAATAGTCATTTATAGTTCGTCTGAACAGTACAAACATAGTATCTGCATGTTTCATTGCAGTTGTTAAAGCAATGTCTGTTCTTGCACCTGGGTCAGCACTTTGGTTTCCAACTTCACCTGCAAAGTCTTTGACAGATATTTGGTGTATAGGGAACATAAGTGGAACTGCAATATATTTGGCAGCTAAAGCATTTGAAATATCTGGGTCCAACATATAGACTGCAAGTCTGCTTTCTATTCTCTTGCATTCAAACTTTTCGCATGTGAACTTAACTGGGTCCCAAGCAGTTTCAGCAGCATTGAAATAATAGTTTACTTCATTGTTGAAGTTTGAGAAACCAAAGTCTAAGTCAACTTTGTCTTTGCAAAATTCGGCGAATGATGTTTGATTTGTTCCCTTTACGTCTGTAATAGTGAATGGGTCTTGTGTTGGTGCAATGACTAAGTTATTTTTGCTTGGAGTAAGTTCAATAGAAATTTTTCCTGCCCAGTTTGGCAAGTATCTTAAAAACCTGAAGATGAGGAAAGATGACAAAGGAACTCTAAGTTTCAGTTTTACTTTAGTGGCAGCAGTTCCATTTGAACCAGAAAGGTTAACATAAACTCCTGGAACGTTAGGGTCAAGTCTTCTTATTTTTTTAATATTTGCATACTGGTCTGTTTGTTCTCTAGCTTGTGGTTGTACTGAGTTTCTCAAAGCGAACCATTCATAGTTTGCCCATGTTACTGTTTGAACTAAGTCAGAGTTAGAATATATCTTATATCCCATGAAAACTTCTGGAGCATATTGGTATCCGACATAGAAAATTCCATTGCAACCTTTCTTGTCAGACAACTTGGCAGAAGGTTTTATTTCAATGTCTTGTTCCACGTATAAGAATGAGTTGTCAATAGAAATAATGTGAAACCTGTCGCATGCAATATCTACTGTTGTTGAAGAACCTTCTCCAAACTCACCTACATTTCCATAAGAAACAGCAGTTGTATATTCGTAAGTTCCAGGAACTATTTCTGACCTTCTAATGGCATTGTCGCATTCGTTATACCATTCGGAAACATTTCCGTTCATGGCATCCAAAACTGTTGGCGTTATATTCTGAGCGGCGTACATTTCATATGGGTAAAAATATAGAATAGTTGGATTTATATGTCATAATAAAACCCACTCGGACCAAGCTTTACTTTCTTCCTGACTGAATTTTTAACTATTCTTTTTCCTTCATTGCCACTACTTTCACTAGATGAAATTACTTCTTCACTACTTTCACTTTGTTCTACTCTTCTCTTCTTCTTTGGTGTCGCTTTTGGTAACTTGCCCTCTGCTTTAAGTTGTTGCATCTTTGCCTCATGTTCACCTAGTATGTTGTAAATTTCCCATGTCCTTTTTGCCTTTGGGCTCTGGTCGCCCATCTCAGGTAACCTATATCCTAGAAAGATTTTGTCATAGTTTGTATTTGAGTCTTCGCTTATTGTTTGCATGACTCTTTCCTGAGTTTCCGGTTCAAGCTCTTCAAACAGAGCTTGTCCATATGGAATAAGCTCGTTTCCAAATATATGTTTTTTGTAGCCATTCTGGTTTTCTTTCCATGTTACCAATAATATCTTTTGTGAATGGGAAAGCTTTTACCCAACGTTTCAGTCTTGCGTCATTTATTTCTGTAGTTGGTTTTATTTTGTCATGGAACATGTTTTTCAATACTAACATTTCATTTGGTACTGTCCATTTGAGTTTTCTTAAATATTCATCCCTTCTCGGTTCATTGTCTGCAAAGTAAGTTTTTATGACATTTTGCAAACTTTCGTTTGCAAGGTCATGTACAATAGGTTCTCTTCCTTCTGTCTCCCTAACTTTCTTTCTAAACTCTTCACCAAATATACCATCTCTATGGTTCTGTGTAGTTCTTTGAGATAAATGTTCTAGAACGTCAGGTGTTATATTTCCATCAGCCATGTTCATTTCATACTGGTCCAAAATATCTGCATCTTTCATATCTTTCAATGGCATTAAAGCCGCGCTGAAAATACCAGCTATATCTGGTTCACCATTCACTTCCATTACGTCTACAACTTCTTGGAATTGAGGTTGTAAGTTTATGAACCACCTATCCGGATTAGCTTTATGACCCCATCTCATTGTAGTTCCATAGTCTGCAGAAACAAAAGTAGGTTTGTTTCCATATTGGTTAGGTTCTGAATGAACTTTAAACAATGTTTCATTTCTATATGTTTTGTTGAAATTTAACCTTTTATTTTCACCGAGTTCAGCCAAAGATTGAACGTTATATGGTCGTAAGTAAAAAGGATTATTGTATTTGCGTACATTATCTTTCAGTACTTCCATTCTATGCTGAATATTTTCATCTGATGTTGGAGTCTTTTGTATGTCGGTAAACATTTTTCGATATTCTTCTACTATGTCAGCCGAATTTTTCTTAGACTCTTGGAAAGATTCCATATTCTCCTCATACACTTGTTGAGGGTCAAGATTTTTCGGCTGTTCCAAATCTTCATCTAGTTCTGTGAAGTTAGTTTCCAAAGGAGGGATTTGTTCGTTTCCTTCTGGCTCTTCTAGCTGTTGTTGCTGAACTATTTCTTCCATGTCTGGTTGTATCTGAACTTCTTCCTGTGGAGTTTCTTGTACATCATCTGCTGGCATTCCATATATTCCGAGACCGTTTTTAACAAATTCCCTTTCTAAGTCATCCGGACTCATAAACCTTTCTTCTTTCGTTCCGTCTCTATTTTTTACGCGTTTCATGAAGATAGTTGAATTATCATTTATCTCTGACATCAAATATCTCGGAGTAAATTCATCCATGTCATTTGGATGATATGCTATTAAATCATATCCCTTAGCGAGCTTGTGTTTTCCAGGTTTGAGATTATATCCGATTTTATGCTGAACCATAAAGCTAAATAGGTTCGGGTCAGTATTTCCTTCCTTGAACTTTCTAATAGCTTCTTTATATCTGTCACTAAAGTCAAGAGTATCTGGGTAACCATAATTTTCCTTAAGCATTTTTAAGAATTCTTGGTTTCCTTTTTCTCTACTTCTTTTATGTCTTTGCTCTGTTTGTGGTTGTTGCTGTGCAGGGTTTTGAACTGTTGGTTGTTGTTGTGCAGGGTTTTGAACTGTTGGTTGCTGTGCTGGATTTTGAACTGTTGGTTGTTGTGTTGGTTGTTGTTGTGGTGCAGGGTTTTGAACTGTTGGTTGCTGTGCTGGATTTTGAACTGTTGGTTGTTGTGTTGGTTGTTGTTGTGGTGCTGGATTTTGAACTGTTGGTTGTTGTGTTGGTTTTGGTGCATGCCTGTGTCTGTGTCCATGTGACGATGTAAATGTTTTAGGTAGTCCCGGTGCAGGTGCTTCTCTTGGAGGGTTTGGTGGTATATAAATTCCACCAGCTGGCACATAAATTCCACCAGCTGGCACATATGTTCCATCTGCAGCATAATGTCCTACCTGACTTTTCGTTTTTAAGAAAGCATTTACTAGGTCTGTTTTGGTCTGTTGTAACTCTTTTTCTTGACTTTCCACAACAGCTGCTCTAACGGCGTCATAGGCACTTTGAACTGCCTGTCTCGTTGCTGCATCTGTTATTTTCGTCATATTTTGTGCTACTTCTCTTAACTCTTTGTCGAAACCTTCAGACTTCAGTTTCTTTCCAGATGAGAAATCGTTCACTAGTTTCACCTTACTATGAAGAGCTTCGAAGGCATTCTTAAAGTCAGCATTCATTAAAGCTTCATTTGAACTGTCTTCATCCGCTTGTATTTTTGTCCTTATTGACCCTATAAGTTGGGCTGCTTTGGCGTTGGCTTGGGCATCTAACCAGTCATTATTAGCTTTTATATATTCTGCGCTTTTCATTGCCTTTTGCATGGCTGCGTCGTTATTTTTACTTTCTTGTGCTAAGTTTTCATACTGTACGGTTTGGTTTTGCAACTGTAAAAGTTTTTCTGCCTTTACATTTGCTTCAACTTCTTTTTTATACTCATTGCTATCCATATATGTCTTCAGGGCTTTTTGTTTTATCTCTTCATCTTTCAGTACTTTATATTGAGTAGTATGGTTTTTCAAATTTATAACATCTTGTTCCATTTTTGCTACTTCTGCTGCTTTTTCTGACACTTTTTTCGCATATTCCTCTGTACTTAGTTCTTTCAGTTGTTCTTCTTTCTTCTTTTTCTCTACGTTTAACTCATTGAGTTTCTTTGTGTGTCTGTCATATTCTAGTTTCTTTTCGTTTTCACTTATTTGTTTCTGTATGTCAGTTAGTATCCCTATCTTGGTTATGGTGGCACTGCGTTCCACCTTACCCAAGATAACGGTTTGACACTTTACAAAACCGCTAACGTATATTTTACAACACAAACGACAACACTAATTTAACATTAAATATTTACAAAGCCGCCAACCTCTTCACCTCACTAATGTAAAAAATAAACGTTCTCACTAACGTTCCCATTAATGTTCTCACTTACAAAAGTATTGCAACTCCTCCCATTGCTGTGCTTCACATAACAGCTCATAATCTTCTGACTCACTTTCTTCTTCATATAGGTCAAAGTCACTGTCATAATTAATGTTTATAAGTTTTGACAAAGCTAATGAAACACGCTTACCGTTTGTATCTATTGCTTGTATATATCTTCCATAATGCTCTTTGTCATAAACGCTCAAACTAACTTTACCCTTTCTCCCTCGTATCTGATAGAATGTATTTTCACGAGGAACGAAGAACAAATTCTTGAACTCATGACCGTTGTAGTTTGTTATCTCAATAGTTTTCGTCATTTACATAAAAATAAAATAAAAATAATTTATATAAAAATAAACTTAAAAATAAATGATATTACTACCTTCACGCGTATGAAAACATAGCACAAAATAAATTAAGGTGAAGTGGTGAAATCTCACCTCTTTTTTCACCCGGTTTTTCACCCACTTGAATTCATTGCTTTATAACTCTCTTCCTTTCTCCAACTCTTCTAACTTCTTCTTAAGTTCAGCAATGTTGTCCTCATGAAGTTTAATCTTTCTCAAAATTCCTTCTTTATCTAATGGTTGCTTTATCTTTCTAAACTGAACTCTACCATCCTTCATAGTATGAATGTAAAAACCTTCTGGAATAGTTCCTGATTTAATGTATTCTACCAAGAACTTTTGTTTCATTGCTTCAGTGACTTTAGTCGTCATTTCAATAAAATAAAAATTTTAATATTAAATAAAAAATAACGTTATTTTTTCAGTAAGGAAACGCTGGAGTTTTACAATTTATTTGTGGTGTGGGTTCTGGTTTAAATGTTGGAGTCGGTTTTGGAGTTGACTTTTGAACAGGAGTTTGTACTTTCATAGGTTCAGGAGTCATTGAAGGTGTTGTTTGTGAAGGTGTTGGTTTTGACGTTGGTTTTGGCGAAGGTGTCAGAGTTTGTTTAACTTCAGCTACTTCAGTATTATTTACAACATTTGCTTTATTTCTTTTCAACATCATTACTGCTCCTGCTGTAGCTAGCAAACCTAGTGGGAGACCATATTTTATATAAGGACTTGACCAAATGCTATTTTTGACAGGAGCTGGTGGAACACCTAACCTTGGTGAGACTGCTCTTTGCCATTGTGCAGCTCGTAAGAAATATTCAATAGGTGCTCCATAATCGTTTGGTAAAGTTTGTTTCATAGATGGTGAAGGTTCACGAGAGCTTGATGAAGAACTCATTTATAAGCTTTAAAAATAAACGTTCATCCTTTATTCCTCACTGTCGTCCGCAGCTAAGTTATAGTCGTCAAGTCTTATTATTGGTATGCCTGAATGTCTTACTTGTATTGCAAAGCAACAATCCCTCATAAATCCAATAAGTGGCTTTGGTACATTTTCAGTTGCTAGTTCAATAGGTCCTTTAACAGACAATTTGTATGTTATTGGAGCAGTAGATGTTTGACCTTGCTGGAAGCAAAAGTCCACTTCTGTTGGAAAACCACATAAGAAATGTGTGTTGTCATAGCTATCCCATTTATGTTCCACACTACCATCATCCACCAATGACCTCATAACATCTTCATTAAATCCTATCATATCATTGTTTGTATTGCAAGCGTTCGCAACCATTTCATAAAATACAGGTCCATATGATTTTTCAGGTTCTGCAGGCATATTTCCATAAGCTCCCATGGAAAGCTGAAGATATTTAAACTTAGGGTTCTCAAAATTAACATAATAGTTGTCTTTCTTTCTAAATAGTGCCCAAATACTTTTAACATTAATAGGCGTATAAGCTGCTGTAAATGTTGCACTTGAACTATCTGTATTCTTTGAGAATGAACCGTCCATAGGAATCCAATCCATAACTTTAACAGGAAAACATAAAGCCTCGTTTGTATAATGTTCTACAAGTTCTGTATAAATGTTAGGGTCTAAAGAGAATGATTTTGGATGAATGAAACATTCATTAAAATCCATCTTTGTTCGAAATAGTTGCTGGGTTACAGTTGTAATAGTAACTGTTCCACTAGCTTCTATTGCCTTCGTTATCATAGTGAATGGTTCATTCCATGGAACAAATTTATTTGTCGGTGGATTTGAATCTGAAGCAAATGCAACTTTAAGAGTTGGATTGAAAGCAATGATATCATTTACAGATATAGATGTGCATTGTAATGCGTCGCTACTGAACTTTACTTTAAGCTGAATGTTACCAGCAAATGCAGGAATAAATCTTATAGCTTCTAATGGTAAAAACTTTCTAACAGGAATTCTTAAACGAAGCTTAAAATCAAATGATTTTCCTGCTGTAATTGGACCACTAACAATTTGTCCTGTTCTGCATGTTCCCGAATGACTCCATACATCTTCATGTCGAGTCTTTGAAAAAACATCTACTTTCTTTATTTGTTCGGTAGTTTGTGAGTTTGAAGTTATATATGCTTCTTCTCTTGCGTTGTCTTGAGAATATACGATACGACCATTTGCAAGGATTTGATATCCAGCAACTGCATAGAAAGCGTCATCGAAACCAATCCAAAATCCTGGTGGGTTTGTTTTATTGGAACCTGAACCAATTTCTTTATCTACAATAAATTGACCTTCCATTTTATACGTAATGAATGTATTGTAAAGGTCCAACATATTTTCACCAGGAGGTGAGAGATTGAATGTTACCCATGTGTTATCTTTAGCAGTTCCAGGTTGTGATGGAATCTTTGCGTCAGAATATTTTCTATTAGTGTCACCAATTTGAACTGCATTGTCTATGATATCGAAATATGAGCGAATCTGATGAATATGCTCTGCTGGAGTAAATTCGTTTAGCTGTTCGTTCTGCATGTATTTACTTCAGATAAAAATATCTATTTACTTCATTATTCTCACTCTTCTTCTTGGCATTCGTGGTGGAAGTTGTTTCTTGACATTTTCAATGAACTGTACATTCTCTTTTGTCTCAACTTCTTTCACTGGTGGGTCAGGGTTCTTTGACTCGGTTTGCTTTTCAATGAAATTCACGAACTTTGCAATAAGCTCTTGGTTCGTTATTGAAAGTACATCTGGCTTCTTTTCTTCTTGTTCTTTTGGTGGCTCAGTTTGAACAGAAGGTTTTATATGGGCTTCACCCTCGGTGCCATGCACCTTAATGTTGTCGCTCTCTGCATTCGCTAATGGAACCTTTCTTTTTCTTACGTATATTTTACCATCTTTACTCTGACTTACGTAATAGAAAGGATGTTGTATTCCTCTGGCGTCATTTAATATAATAGACTCTCGTTCTGATTTTGACAAGCTCATTTTACATTGGTTAAAGTTTCAATTTTGTTTTTTATCTGCAGTCAAATGACTCAGACAAGCCCTACGGACAAGACCCAAGGGGTCATAGATGTTGAAGCATTGAAGAAAGAAATTCGTGAGCAAATTTTATCCGAACTGAAGGAACAAAAACAAGAACAAAAGCCAGAGAAACCAAAGAGAAAGTTAAGTGAAAAACAACTTGCTGCATTAGCTGCTGGAAGACAGAAGAACCCACGTTTGCTGGCGAAGAAAGCTAGAGAAGAAGCAAAAGCAAAGGAAGAACAAAAAGCTAAAGAAGCTGAAGAGAAGAAAGAGTAAATGGTTTATTTTTATCGGAACTAAATGTATAGACAAATACCTTTATCTGTTGCGTTCAGTAGTGAAAACCCTGACGTCAAAATAAAGGGGAACAGAGTAACGTTTAAGTTTCCAACAGACTGGATTGTGAACATAAATGAAGAGAAGTACATTGGCATAACATCTATGTATATAACACGTGCTTTCAGAAAGGTTGAATTTATACTTCAAGTCGAGATAGAAAATGACGAACAGTCTTTAAGTGCTCAAAACATTCACATGTACAGGTACTTCAATGATAGTACGACGTTAGAAGACTGTATAATTACATTTTACGAAAATTTTCAAAAGAAGTTCAACATGGATTTAGAAATATTAAAACCTTTACGTGATTTTCTTGCAAAACTGAAAGAAGAAGGAATTGTAGAAAGATTAATAGCTTTTCATTACGAGTTCGTGGAAAATGAAGATGGAACACATGACTGTCAATTCATAATATTTTCACCATTCAATGAATTAGCTGAAAAGAAAGAAAATCCATTACGTATAAAATTTCAAATCTCTGAACCAAGTGATGATTTCAAAAGTGTATTCAATTATGATGCAATGCTTCCGAGGAAAAATGATTATTCAGAAATTAGATTTCCAGGTATTTGGGATAGAAAGCAAGCAATACTTTACTCTAATATAGCCAAAGGCGTTGAAAATGAGTTCATTGGTCATACAAGAAATTCACCACTGCCAAATCCTAAATATTACAAGCTTACTGGCTTCAATCGTGAGTTTTGGATAGACATGTACTCCACTCATGACCATAAAGCACCTGTTTTGCTACCTCCAGATGGGAAAGATTGTTTATACATTGAAGCACAATTGTTAAACTCTACAATAGCTGTATTGTAAATGACCACATGGGCTTCGCCCTTGCCGCTAGCGGCTTATTTTTATCACGAATGACCTCATTGCTGACAAAAATAAATGACCTCAGAACTTCAACTTACGTATGAAACTTGTTTTAGTCGTTATTGAGAAGTTAAACTTCTCTTCAAAGCAAGGTTGACATGACTTACATAAGTCAAATACAATCTCTTGACCATCATGAAGTGCTTTATATAACTTCATAACACTGAACTCAGAGTCTTTGTCAAATTTTCCTTGCGGAACCATTAAACCTTTATCTTCATTGTAATAGCATTGTATAGCTTCAGGAAACATTTCATTAGCGGTTAAAGCAATAACATCTTGCTTCACGCCTTTCATTCTGCAGTGGAATGCAACTTCATTTAAATCGTTAGTGAGTAAGTCTATGTAGGTCTTCTTTCCACAAAATATTGACTTGTATGCTAAACTTTGTTTTTCAGGTGTTATTTCTGCGAAGTCGCTATGAAATTGACCTAATGTTTTACCAATAAGTTCTCTACCATATCTCTTCTGAAATTCCTGAGCTAAACGCGGGATGTCTTCATTGAAAATATGCATACTGTCCGTATCCTGATAGGCTATATGCAAGCCCATGTCCTCAGCAGTACAGAATACTTCATTCATTATTCTCTTCGACATTGATAGAATATTTACACCAAGTGGACAGAAGTTAAAGTGTCTGCAAATGCTTTTCGTTAGTTTGAAAATAGTTTTATCGGAACCATCCAAACCTTCGAACTTCACTATATGGTTGTAATTTCTTATAGCATATCTTATAGCATCTTTGTCATCTACTATGGTTATTTTTGACTCAATAGGAGATAAAATAGTTTTGCCATAAATGCTGTTCAGAATGAGTTTTATAATTTCTTGTAATGGGTTTTCTTCTTTCTTATACTTTAACCTTAACTCAAACAACTTCTTTACTTCATCTCTTATTCTCAATCTCTGTTTCCATCGTAATAGTATCCTTGCAACACTTCACATTTGACACCTTGATATTTTATGAGGTCTTGTAATGTTATATGGTCAACATACATTAACAGCAAGTGTTTGAACTTCTGGGAACGTTAAGTTCTGGATTTAGTTCAGGGTCACAAACTATTAAAGGAAAGTGTCTATGTATTCCAATCTCTGTTATCTTAATGAGAACAAAGAAGCCTGACATAAACTTTTCACCAATGGGTTCCTTTTGGTCGTCATCGAATAAATGTCTCATGAGATACTCTGTGCTTAACATCTCATCCTTCAATACTTTTGGAATTCCTTCTAAAGTATAAAGTCTTGCTATAGCGGATGGATATAATGAAACAGCGTCGAAGTCAGCAATGAGTTTCTTTTCGCTCTTTTGTTTCATGTTATCTGACAACATACATCTTCCACGTTGAATGCATCTCGAAATAAATTCTCTTGGTTTATTTGAGAGGTCATAAAGATTTCCATTCGGGAAGTATACTCTGTTCTCAAACAATTTGTTAGCAATAGAACAAATACTAACGTAGTCATAAACGTTTAAATCAAACTCTTTCAATAAGTCATTGCGGAACTTTACAAAACCTTCTCTTAAAATTCTTACATCTTGTTTGCAGTAAAACGTGCTATATTTTTCTAAGTCGAAGTGGTTCTCATCTATTCTGCAACCTTTGATGGAATCTATGTTCTTCATGAATGTATCTGCATCCTTGACAAACTTACATGCTTCAGAAATGACACCAGTTCTGTTGTCATTTGCTAACAAAGTACTGCTGTAGTAGTTGTATGGAAATACTTCTTTCGGTCCTGTTTGTAAGTTAAACATAGCAGGAAATAGTTTAAGTTTCTTATTTATAACACTGTAAGAGTCTTTTATAATAATTGCCCGTCCTTTATATAAACCAGTTATTTGCATTGTTCGTGAACCTTTAATGATGGGAGTTCCTTTCACTTCTGTCATGTGTCTTAAGATAAAGTTTATGTCATAGCTGAGGTTATGGAAATATATTAAACTCTTGTCAGGAAGTCGTTCCAAAAATTCTGTTGCACAGTTCTGACCCCAAATGCTTTCACTAACTGAACCATCTTCACTGTCATAACATATGTTAAACGCTTTATGAAAGCCGTCTGTGCTACACTCAAAGTCAGCAAAGAAAACGTGCTCAGGAATGAACTTACATTTAGCTTTATTTACTTCTTTTGACTCTGCTTTCTTCTTCAGTTGTACACAATACTTTGGAGCATATGTCAAATCTTTAAATGGTGCAAGGTTCTGTTTATATAAGTCAGTCGTATATGTGAAAAGTTCTCCATAAGAAATAGGTTCGAAATATTTGCACTCCCACAATGTTTTCATAACATCCCATAACGGTGTTGTTCTATCATAACGAACTACATATTTATCTTCTCTCTTTGTATATAATCTTCATCTGTTTCTCAATGTTCATTCCACCACAAGCTTTGAGAATTTCTTTAGTTGCGAATGAAGTATGTTGTCATTGGAAGTCTTTCATTTAGCATGTAGTGGTCTTCAACAAGAAGTAAGTCAATAGTTCGAACAGTTTCACATTCTTTTGGTATATATCTCTTTATTTCATTATGTCTTGAGTCATTGAAATAACCAATGGTAACATTAAATGCTATACCTGTTGAATCGGAAATTTCTTGTACTTTACTTTGGGAAAGTCTTAACACGAATGACTTCTCTCATGTGGTCAATAGTTTCTTCATCTACTCCAGCCTGAATGCAAGCATAAACGAAACAATTGTCTTCTGTCATAAGTGCTGCAGTTCTTTTGTTCAGTTCATTGAAGATTTGGTAGCGTTCAAGATTTATAGGTAATGTGCAAAGATACTTCCAGAACTGACCGCTTCTCTTCTTATAAAACTTCTTTTCACCATTATCTTTCCAAAAGCTTTCTATAAGTGCTGGGTTTCCTGTTTGCTTAAGAGCTTCCAAAATGGCTTTCTGGTCATTTGTCAGTGTGCTTTCATCTCTATATGGTCTCTTTTTTGGTTTGCCTTTCTTTACATCTGACATCGTTAAGCCTTCATATTCTGTTAAATCATACATCTTTATTTCAGTAAGATTCTTTATGTTTGTCAAGAAGAAGTCATAGTGCATTTCAACAATACCTGCGGCATTTGCTTCTATCTCTGATATAAAGTTCTCCTTCAAGAGCTGATGTAGTAATGTTCCAATATTATTGAGGTTTAACGTAGAACATTCATACTTTCCACCAAGTTTATAACATACCATCCATCTCTGTTGTGAGTTTATTTTAATTTTCTCTAAGAGTCTCATGAAAACCTTACCGAAATGTTTGTGTAAATATTCTCTGTTTGGTTCATCTAAAGCTTCGATGTTAAAGTCAATGAGTCTATTGCCTGACTTCACATTTCTCTTCCTATTCTCTTCATCTTTCTTTAACCATCTCTCACCTTCTTTTGGTTTGTCGTCAATGGAACGAATGACATCGTTAGCTTTGCGAACTTGTTCTATAGCACTTTTAAACATCTCTCTTCTCTGTTGTTTCAGTGTGTCGTCTCTTCTTCTTGTTTCACCAACGTTTGCATTTGTTATGTCAAACATTTCTCTTCTTACTTCATGTGGTACAGCTCTTCTTGTTTCACCAACGTTTGAGTTCGTAAGTTCAAACATCTCTTGACGAACGTCATGAGAAAGAGCTTTACGAGTATGACCAACGTTTGCATTTGTTATGTCATACATTTCACGCCTTACTTCATGTGGTACTGAACGTCTATGATATAAGTCAATAGCAACGTCATTTAAAGGAAATGTTCTTGCATGGACTTCGTCCTCGCCGCGTTGCGGCTTTATGAACTCATGAATTCTATCATAAGTTATTTCACCATTGTAGTCTTTAATGAAGTCAGGAGTGATTTTTTGTTTGTCGCGTAATGGTTTGCAACATCTATGTTAGCTTCTGTAAGAAGTTGTTTTATTTCCGAGTGTTCTAACTTAGACAACTTCCGATACATCTTTAGTAGGAAATAAAAAATATTTTTTAAAAAATTAGATTACATTTTTTAAGTTATTTTTCAAAATAATTTAATATTTTTATTTTAATGAAAACACATGCAAATTGCAAGTTCTTTTCATACAATGCTCTCGCTACTGCCATCAAGAATGAGTTCCAATGGTGCTTCAAACGTTAATGTTATCTTTAACAAGAAGTTTGTGAAAGAATCTAAGTTTGGTCAGTATGTCAGACCATTAGCTATTGTTATTGACCGCAAACGTTATACTCACAAGAGTTAGCAGTTGTGTTGAAACAAAAGGGTTTCTTTGTGAATGTAAAAGATACTCATTATACTGTTTATAAAGACTCCACGTTGACTTCTTCAGTATTGCTTTAAATCTTTCCGAACAGAAAGAATATAAGAGTGTGAAACATCTGTGAAATATTATCCTTCATCTCTGAAGACAATAACGAACAAGATCATACAAAAAGTTCTTACCAAAAGTTGAAGAAGCTTCAATTGACATTGACGAAGGAAGTGAAATGGTTGAAGAAATTGACCCTGACGTTATTTGAACAAAAATATATTTTTGGTTAGTCTTCATATCGATATTTTACAACAATTCCCCATGTATAAACTTTCATACGCTTTTTCATAAGCTTATATACCTTCAGAAATTTTGCATAATCTTTAGAAGCATTTAGATATTGTTTAAATGCTTTGTATGTCTTCAAAAATTTTGCATAATCTTTTACATGTTGTTCGTTCTCTTCTTCTGTTAAGAGTTCTGAATATTCTAAATTCATGTTCTTTCATATGAGATAAATTTTATAAAAAAATAAATATAGCGTAGATTTTTTTCATTCTTCCTCTTTGAAGTTGTCGAAATATTCTGTTATTTTTTCCTTCAGTAATGTTAAGTCTTCTTTGAATGTAAGTATTGTGCAACCTCTAATATCATAGTGTGTTTGAGGAAGTGTGTCTTGAACTATCTGTTTAACATCTTCATTCGGTGTCATTGAAATCGGTAAGTTTTCACGATAGAACCGGTTTCTGTCAGATTTATATATTTTAGCGAGGTCATAAAAGCTCTTGTTGTTTCTTCTCACTAAATGTAACATAACCATATCTCTATCTTCTTCTTTCTCCATCTCTTCAGCGTAAATCATATACTTATAGCTTTTTTCCTTTCCTTTTGGTACTGAACGTGGTATTCTTTTCTGTATGCTTTTGTCTTTGGATTCAATGACTTCATCTTTTGCTTGAAGTTTCTTTTCCATCTCTCCACGTTCTGCTTTATATAGTTCATCTAACATCATGAAAATATAACAAGCATAACGAGGTGAAGCCCACATTGCTACAGCATTTACTAAAAGTCTATGAACATAATAACCTTTCAAACCAGGTGCCAAATTCTTGCGATTTTCGAATGGAATCTCTTCTCTCGGTTTTCCGAGGGAAGCAATCATATGAGGAAATTCTTCTAAAAGTTCTTTTGTCTGTTGGTTTTCAAACCAATGATATGCTTGCTTTGTAGAACGAAGAGCGTTCATTATACTTTGCATTTGATACATATCATCTTTGACAGAACGAATGAGTCTCAATTGTTTGTTATATTGTATGTATTCGTATTCTTCATTTATGGCTTCATGAACGATAGCAGTTGTTGTGTTCTCTAATGTTGTCATTACTGTCTTTACATACAAGATAAAAAAATAAATAAAAATAAAATTAACGTTATTTTTCTCTTTTATGAAAATTCATGAAATTTGGTCATTTTTCAGTAAAAATATAATTTATGTGAAGTGGTGAAATTTCACCTCTTTTTTCACCTAATTTTTCACCTCTTGAACTTTTTATAACATTCGGTCATAACTTCATCAATTTCATTTAAATCACGATTTAAAAACTCATTGATTTCATCTTCAACCGTGTCATCTTGTAATAAGAATATTTTCTTTAGTTTCATGTCCACATCCCGAACAGCACAAAGGATAAAATCATATTCATTTCTTCCGTTAAACATACTTTTTCTTTCTCGTTCATCGTTAAATAAATTATTGAAAATATAAACAGCGGTGTAAAAGTTATGTACTGTGTTAAATGTTGAAGCCTCACCTATTTTAGATTTTAGGATTCTTTTAGTAAGTAAATTGTTATCGTTCTTTCTCTTTTCCTTATCGTTCATGTCGAATCTGTCGAACCACATATCCTGTATTTCATCGAATTTACGAACTATAGAATCCGTCATTTCCCTGGTTAATGAGGGGTAATCATTATTATTTTTTTCATATAATTTGTTAGTGAATGTTTTTGCTTCGACTGACATTTCTGTTCTTACATACAAAATAAAAAAATAAATAAAAATAAAACTAACTTTATTTTTTCTATCTTAAGGAAATTCATGAAAATTCATGAGGGTAGAAATGAGGGTAGAAATGAGGTTAGATATACCCATCTACCCTAAAAATTATTTTTGTTCATGGGCTATGCCCCGCCGCTTTGCGTCTTTATGTTAAAATAAATGGTACCATTAATAATTTCATGACTGTTCTCATTCATGTCTGATTTACATCCAACGAAAAAGTTTAGAATAATTTTCTTATTCTTTCTGGCATATTTTTGTCTTTCCAGTACTCCCGCTCTAATGGACCCAGATGTGTTGGCTTTGACTCTCTCAAGTTCTTAGATGGTATAACATCTTCAACGCCTCCTTCATATCTTACTTTATAAGTGTCATCGTTTATGTTATAGTCAAGTATTTCAATAACCACTCCTCGCTTTGCTTCGTCAATGGTTTCAGCAAGTTTGCCATTACTACTTTCGACTAATTTATGACGAGGGTAAAATGCTATGGAGTCGTCGGCAGCTTTTATAAGATATCCATTACCTTGTGTAGAGTCTACGATATAATAATTTCGACTTAACCTTAAACGTTTCTTTGTCAATGGTTTGTCGTCAAGAACTACACGAACTTTTGTACCAGGAATGAGGGTAAATTGTGTTGAATTTCTGATATTTTGTGTTTGGCTTCGTTTCTTTTGTATATACTTTTCTTCTTGTTGTTGTGTCATTGAATTTGGTGTATGTCCTGTTGTAGAATGTGTTGAGGAATTATATACTTCGAGAAAGTGTTTCATTGTTTCTTCGTTAAAATCTCGCTCTTGGTTTAAATCTCTGAGCGTTCTTATGAAGCGGTTAATGATACCGAGTATGTTATGGTTATGGTCTTCAGTAGTGTAGTGAGTTATGTTATGCTTAATGAGAAATTCTGTGATTTCGTTGCTGAGGTATGCTGAATCCTGGTCTGATGTTAAAGTACTTGGGTTATGTTCTGCTACAAACTTTTGTAAAACTCTTAACACTTCACGAGTTCCTTTGTTCCTCATTGGATATGCATATGCTTTACGAGTGTTAACATTTATGAAGATGAGGAATGGTTTATGTCCTCCTTTTCTGCTTTGAATGAGAGTGTCAAATTGGTATGCGTCAGGAGTGTTGGAGTAAATTGGTAAAAAGTAGTCGTAAGGATTTATTTTTGTTTGATGTACAACATTTTTGTTAAAGAACCTTTTCACTTCAGCTCTGTTAGTAAATCCCGAACTCTTTGCAGCTTCATTGAATTTCTTAAAAGACCTCCATGGATGTTGTTCGAATACTTCTTTCAAGCTCATTTATGTAAAGTTAAAGATTTCATTGAACTCGGTACCATGCGAATACAGTCATAAATGGAGGCATATAATCTGCACCCGAACCTGCTGGGTCTGTAATACCAGCTACAACATGTGTATGATTTCCTGCAGTTCCACAGAAAATACCTGTGCTTGAATCTACTGGGTCACTTGAAATATCATATCTATGCATTCCCTGTCTATCCGAACCTGCTGCAAGATTTGTATAACCTCTTTTTGTTATTGAATGTGAATGATTTCCTTCTACAGATGTTGTTCCACTGAACTTATGCATATGTGAAGGAAGGTTTTCAATACCTATTTTCTTTGAACCTCCTGTTTGCTTTGAAGAGTTAGCACAGTATAAGAATTTATCTACAATCTGCTTCCACGTACCAAAACCTAAAACACTTGCCGGATTTGTTGAGTTCATTGACGTATAAATAGAGCCTATAGGATATATGGTTTCAAGAATCTGAGTCTTCATTGTTAGAAGTTCATGTTTAACGTTTATAAATCCATCGCCGTCTACAATATTTATATTGTTTGTTATTAAACCATTAGGAAAAGTAGGAGGATAAATTCTTTGTTCTTGTACAGTTGCACCGTTTCTTCCTGTTTTTGTTACTATTTCGATGCATGCCTTAATTTCTTTAATCTTGATTGTTTGAAATTCTTCATGCACGTGCTCTTTATCGGCTTTTCCATTAAGCGCAGCATTTACTTCCGACTTCTTTGCATAATTTTCATCTACCCATTCCTTTGCTTCTTCTGTATAATTCATTGCTTTTGTATCATACCAATTTAATTTTTCATCTACATATATTTTGTCGGTTTTATTGGCTAAATCAACAACCATATCTCTTAGGTTAGTGTGCATATCTTCAGCACGCATGCTTGATGAAGCAATAGCCCAATTCAATATTATCTCATCAGCTCTAATAGTTGTGAAGAATTCGTGTGTATGGTTTTTGTCAGCTTTCTTATCTAACATTGCTGGTAGTTCATGTGCTTCAAAGTTTCTGGCATGTCCTTCAATATTAGTGCATTTACTATCTAAACTATTAAGTGTATCTTTTACGCTTGTACTTGGATTCTCTAAAGGTGCACTTGAACCAAGGTCAAAGTTCAGTATTATGTCATCAGCTCTAACAGTAGTGAAGGATTCATGTGTATGGTTTTTGTCTGCTTTACTGTCTAAAGAAGTTTGAAGTTCATTTATATCGGAGATGTTGTGTTTATGAGATTTCAAAACTTTGTTCGTTGCGTCAAGTTCATTTTTGTCAGCTTTACTTTTAATAGCATCTTCAAAAGTTATTTTTGCCTTAACTCTTAACATAAATCTTGGTTCAACTAATACACCGTTAACAAAGAAGTATGAAGCATAAATTTCAGCGTTATAACCAAATGTTTGTGGTGCTATACCTGTGTCATACTGTACAGTACAGTGTATGTCATAACCTTTAGCACGAATGAATTTATATCTTCTTTCATTAACATTTTTCGTCTTCACTTCTTCATCCTGTGTTAAATATCCATGATAGTCCGTTATAATCTGTTCGTCTGAACTTATATAATGAACATGGTTCTTGTCCGCTTTACTATTTAATGTAGCTTGAAGTTCATTTATATCGGAGATATTGTGTTTATGAGATTTCAAAACTTTGTTCATTGCGTCAAGTTCATTTTTGTCCGCTTTACTATTTAATGTAGCTTGAAGTTCATTTATATCGGAGATATTGTGTTTATGTTCTTTATCTGCTTTTTCGGCTAATTTCTCTTCTATCTCATTTATTTCAAGTTCATGCCTACCACCACCTCCCGAAGAAGTATTTTTCTTCAGCTCTTGAAGAACGTCCACTTCGCCATCTTTGGTGTCAATAATGAGACTTTGAGTTAAAACCTTTCCTGTCTTAATGGATGTTTGTAAAAACTTCTTCTTCACCGTGTTCGGGGTCATGGTCGTCATCATATCTTTTGAAATCAGAGATGTTGTCATACATTAAGCATATCTGTCTCAAAAGTTCTGCTATTTGAAACTGGAACGAAAGAATACAGAACTTTCATTCATCTCCTAAAGTCAAGTCTGCTTTCTTAAGTATTTCTTGAATGTATGCAATGAGAACAGAGTACCTTGGAAAATATTCGAACAATATTTCATTAGCTGTTTTTGGTGGTTCTTCTGGAGTTTCTGTTGTTTCAGTTCCTTCTGTAGGTTCTGTTGGAGTTTCCTGCATCTCTTGACTTCAATGCTCTTGCTCTCAAAGACCTAAATGTTAGAGCACCGGGTTTTACAAAGGACTTTATAAATGCTTTAATAGTTCCTGGTAAGTTATTGTTAGCATTAAGTAAGTTCTTATGCTTCCATCATGTACGTCCATAGCACTATGTAAAAAAATCTATACTTTTCTTGTAGTCAGCAATAGACTGACTGTGATTTTTAAAGATTTGTCAATACCTTTAAGCCAATCTTCATGCATGTCTGATACTGAGCCAAGAATATCATTTGCTTCCTTTAGTGTATTTTGTGCTTCTCGTAAAGTATCCAATCCCGTACGTGCATTGTTTGCTATACGTCTTACAGTATCTATTTGACTCCTTGTTTCTTGCATCCAACCAGATAAAGTTTTAATAGTATCCGAACCATTTGAAATGAAGTTCAAAGCATTTTTAACGTCATCTAAAACTTCTTCACCAAGTACTGCCCATATCTTTCCGATTTGGTATTGAAGAACTCCATATGAAGCAGCTGTTAAACCAGTATTTATAAGGTTCCATATCCATGATTTAGCAGTTTTTCCATCCTTTCCATCCTTTCCATCCAAACCGTTTTCGCCTTGAGGTCCTTGTATTCCTTGTATTCCTTGTGGTCTTGAGTCCGGTGTCACCCTTCTCTCCTTTCAGTTCATCTTTATGTTCGTTATAATATTCTAATGTCATAAGGTGTACATCATTACTGCTACCAGCAACGCCGAGAATTTGTTTCTCATTCATGACTAAATTCTTTAGGCATTTAATGTTGTCGTCAAATCGAAAGCTCTTTAACAATTCAATGAGAACATTCAGTACTTCACTAATGAGGCATCTACTGTTGAATTTATATATTGCACCGTTCCATCATTTATGGGAACTTTGCTTGTTGTAATGAATGGGTCATAAGTGTTAAAAGTATCGAAATCAATGACTTTTTAGTTTTTCCATCGTCAATGACTAAATCATTGCCTTCAATGGTTAAAGTTGAGTTTTCGTTTACTAGTTCATGTGCTCTTCTTGCTTCATTTGTTTCATACGCATATGCAGCAATAGTCATATTTTAATGAGAATAAAATGTTGTTCTATTTGCAAAGTACAGACCCAAACGAATACGGGACAGTAAAGCTACAAACAAACTTAGGTCTTCAGAATGAAGCGCTTGCTTTCAGAGTTGTTGACTTTAATACTATTGCTTCATTCGTTATAACTGACGAAACAGATTTCATGGAGCTTGAAATAGATGGAAAGAAGCATGAAATAAGATTTCACAATAATGTAGAATATAAGATGGAAACATTAGCTGGAGTGTTAAATGCTCTCATAAATACTACAATAAACAAGGATAACGAAGAAAACTTAATGAATGTTAAACTTATTGTAGGAGTTTTGAAGTTCAGTTATGCGAAGGAGTTTAAGATAACACGAATGAGTCATAGAGTTCAATTGCTTCTGGGAGCATACCATATGACATTTCCTTTGAAAAGTGTTGACAAAACGATTGAGATGAAATCCGTTCCATACGTATGTTAGGCAATTGTTTGTACATTGAGTCTAAAATAGCTAATGTCACAGGTATTTCAGGAGTTAATAGTAAAGGTTCAGTAGAATATAAATCTTTCTGTTATGAAGTAAATTCAATGTTCATTCCAAACGTTCCTGTCATAGTAACTCATTTAGGTAAATGGGTTCGCATTAGTCCTCATAATTTGAAAGACATGCAATTCAGACTAGTTGACTTTCAAGGAGAGCCTGTAGAACTGAAGGCACCAGTGCGAATGACTGTTGAAGTTGACTTTTTAGAAAATATTAAATGCAACGGCTTACAAGAGAACTCAGAGCTAAAAATATAAAGTATGAATGTTATGTATTAGGTCATGAACTTTAGTTGTTGCTGTTTGATGAAACAAATGAGTTAGTTATGTCTGTCAAGAGAACAGAAAAAGGCGTCAAAGGCGCCGAGCGCAAAGCGCTATATTGTGTTAGTGAAAATTGCACCAAGTCAATAAGATTAGGTTTGCATTATGAAGATGAGTTCAATAGTGTTGAAGATGTTTTGGACAGATATTACAAATTGCTTTAATTTACTAAAACATATTTCAAACAAAGCTTATAGTAAGTAGATAGTTTTGTATACTCGTTCGAATATTTATACTTAAACTCAACTCCTGGAGTACCTGGTGTTTCAATGATGCGGATGTTACCTATTTTCATGAATATTGGAGTTTGACCACAGCATTCGATTTCAGGGTCGAGATAGTCAATGACACATTGCTTTCCTGTTATTCGTGATATAATATTTTCAAGGTCCTCCTTTGTTAGAATTATTTGGTTCTTACTTATAAGATTTGTCAAAAGCTTCTTATCGTCTTTGAGTAAAATTGTTTGGTATAACTGAAGAAGGTAATGGTCTACGTTATCTGAAGGATTTGTTTGAACATTTGTGTAAGGGTTGTCGTTGGCTTCTCTTGAAAGAACTTGGTCCAGTGGTGGATACTCTAACTTAACATCTGATGTAGCGTTAGCGTTTGAAGCTGTGTTTAAATTCACGGCGCCATGCGCCATGATGGGCTCTTTGAGCCCTCCCGACTTAAGATCTGGTTCTTTTTCTTTCAAACACTCCGAACTATAGTTCTTTATGACAATATTGTTTGTCGTTCGTGAGTCAACATTTGATGTTGGTTCAATTGGAACATTAACGGCACTAGCTAAGATGGATTTGCTTCTCATTTCATATAGAATAAAAACCTTTTATATGTATGAAATGAACAATATACTCGACAAGGGTTTGAATGTAAAGCTAACGAATGAAAATATTGTTGAATTCACTGAGACAGGTGCTGTGTATAAAGATGTAGAACTACTGAACAAAAGAGCAAAGGGAAGAAGCAGGAATATGAACAAAGGGTGGAAACCTATAAAAATTTATGTCAATGATGGTTCAGGAGGTTCAAACATAAAGTATGCAGAAAGTTATAGAGTTTATGCTCTCAAAGGTGAAAAGCCTTCATTTAAGAACAGCTATTCTAACGCATATCCTCAAAAGCTAACGGATGGGGAAGTGGATGATATGAATGACAGCAAAAATATTAACAGAAATGGCGACAGAGATGCATGGAATTTGTTTACCATCAGTCAATTGAAGGTTAAACTTTAAAACAATGTTGGTCGTTCCCATGGAATATTTTTGACTTTAATGGTATTAGTCATGATATGAATCTCAAGGTATGAACGAGGAGAGAGAGAGACTTATATGCTTCCCAAATTTCTTCAAAAGGTAATGTTATACCTGACTGTTTCCAAATGAGTTCAATGTCATAACGTGAGAAACCTTGAAAGATAACGAAGTCAGTTATGAGACGTTTTATGTTTAAAGCAAGGAAACGCCATGTTTGCATAAGTATTGCTACAGTTAAATGGTAATGTCTGACTTTAGTAATGATGTTAGCTAATGGTGAGTCTGGTTTTGACACTAAACCTTTTCCGGCGAAGTCGTCACAAACGAGCAGAGTATTTGAAGGATACTTTTTGAAGGGGTATTTTGAAAGTTTTGATAGAATGTAGTTTGTCAGTCGTTTCATATCGTAAACTCCTGAGTACTGACGTAAGTGGTGTTTGTCAATAATTCTTTCCATCTCTTCTGAAGTCTTTTGCATTCCTGACTGTATGAACTCTACAATAGCATAATATTTTCTCTTACGTCGAATGTAACGTTGAAGAAATTCAATGAGTTCGCTATCTGGAACTTTAACGACAGATGCTTGAACTTTACTCATGAATGTTTTCGCTGTTGAATCCATAGAGTCTGAAGTTGCTGATATAATGATTTGGTCATAGTAAGAGTCGTTTCCTAAACGCTCTGTTATGAGTATATGACGAATGAGGTTAAATGTCTTTCCTGAACCATCTTTCCACAATAGAAATACACACCATTTGAACAGAATTCATAATCTTTGCTGAAAGGAAGAATAAGAGAAGAGTTAAGTTTGTCTGTAGTTTCATTCATGTCTTCATCTACATCATGTATTAAATGCTTCATTTTATCTCCATTAAAAATGCAAGTCAGAAATATTCAGAACATAGCACCGAGTCTAACTGACAAGAGTATAAAGATATACTATGAACACGTTATGATGAAACCAACCAAAATTCAAGAAAGTCAGTATACTTATGAATATCCAAGACACTGGGTAGAGTATGTAGGAGGTGAGAAAGCTATTGAAATAAGACAAGTTAGAAGTATTCCAGCAGGAAGAACAATATTATTGAAGAACTTTAATGTTTTGAGATATAATGATGAAACAAAGAAGCAAGATAGTTTCCCTGTTGCTGTGTATGTGAACTTAGATACAGGAGATGACATGAAAGTTTTTAACACAAAGCTTCAAACGGTATTGAAAGAACAACTTATAGCAGAAGGAC